TACAATTTGTTAACCCCCCATACAAAAATGGTCCACTAACCCACCTACCCACTACCCACAACCACTAACTCACCTGCCCATCTATCCACCTACCTACTAACCCACCCACCCCTCTAACCCACCTATGTACTAAGCCACCTACCCACTAACCCACTTACATACTAACCCCATCTACCCACTAACTCACCTACCCACTAACTCCATACTCACTAACCCACCTACCCACTAACCAACGTATCCAAAAACCCACCTACCCACAAACTCGCATACCCACTAACCCACCTACCCACTAACCCACCTACCCACTAACCCACCTACCTACTAACCCACTAACCCACCTAACTACTAACCCACATACCCACTAACCCACCTACCCACTAACCCACCTACATACAAAGCCACCTACCCATTAACCCACCTAAACTACTAACCCACCTACCCACTAACCCACTTACCTACTAACCCACCTTCCCACTAACCACCTACCAACTAACCCACCTACCCACCTACCCACTGACCCACCTACCCACTAACCCACCTACTCACTAACCCACATACAAACTAACCCACCTACCCACTGACCCACCTACCCACTAATCCACCTACCCACTGGCCCACCTACCCACAAACCCACCTACCTACTAACCCACCTACCCAATAACCCACCTACCCACTAAATCACCTACCTACTAACCCACCTACCCACTAACCCACCTACCCACTAACCCACCTACCCTTTAAACCCACCTTCCCATTAACCTACCTACTCACTAACCCACATACCCACTAACCCACTTACCAACTAACCCACCTTCCCACTAACTCATCTATCCACTAACCCACGTACCCACTAACTCACCTACTCACCACCCCACCTAACCCATTAACCCACATTCCCACTAACCTACCTACCCATTGACCCACCTACAGACTAACCCATCTACCCACTAACCCACCTACTCACTAACCCAACCTATCCACTAACCCACCTACACACTAACCCACCTACCCACTAACCCACGTACCTACTAACCCACACTTACCCTCTAACCTACCTATACCCACTGACCCACCTACCCACTAACCCGCCTACCCACTAACCCACCTTCCAACTAACCCTATCTACCCACTGACCCACCTACCCACTAACCCACCTACCCACTGACCCACCTACCCACTAACCAATCTACCCATTAACCCACGTACCCACAAACCACCTGCCCACTAATACACCTACCCACTCACCCACCTACCCACTAACCCACCTTCCCACTAACCCACCTTTCCACTAACCCACATACCCACTAACCCACTTACCCACTAACCCACCTTCCCACTAACCCATCTACCCACTAACCCACTACCCACTAACTCACCTACTCACCACCCCACCTACGCATTAAACCCACCTTCTCACAAACCTACCTACCCATTGACTCACCTACGAGACTAATCCACCTACCCACTAACCCACCTACTCACTAACCCACCTATCCACTAACCCACCTACACACTAACCCACCTACCCACTAACCCACTTACCCTCTAACCTACCTACCCACTCACCCACCTACTCGCTAACCCACCTACCCACTGACCCACCTACCCACTAACCTGCCTACCCACTAACGCACCTACCAACTAACCCTCCTACCCACTGACCCACCTACCCACTAACCCACCTACCCACTGACCCACCTACCCACTAACCAATCTACCCACTAACCCACCTACCCACAAAGCCACCTAACCACTAACCCACCTACCCATTAACCCACGTACCAGCTAACCCACCTCCCCACTAATACACCTACCCACTCACCCACCTACTCACTAACCCACCTACCCACAAACCTACCTAGCCACTAACCTACCTACCCACTAACCCACCTACTTTCTAACCCACCTACCCATAAACCCACCTACCCACTGACAGCCTACCCACTAACCCACCTACCCATTAACCCACCTACCCATTAACCCGCCTACCTACTAACCCACCTACCCACAAACCCACCTACCTACTAAACCACCTACCCACTAACCTGCCTACTCACTAACGCACCTAGCAACTAACCCTCCTACCCACTGACCCACCTACCCACTAACCCACCTACCCACTAACCCACCTACCCACTAACCCACATACAAACTAAACCCGCCTACCCACTGACCCACCTAACCCACTAATCCACTACCCACTGACCCACCTACCCACAAAGCCACCTACCCTCTAACCCACCTACCCATTAACCCACCTACCCACTCACCACACCTACCCACTAACTCACCTACCTACTAACCCACCTTCCCACTAACCCACCTACTCTCTAACCCACCTACCCTCTAACCCACCTTCCCATTAACCCACATACCCACTAACCCACTTACCCACTAACCCACCTTCCCACTAACCCATCTATCCACTAACCCACGTACCCACTAACTCACCTACTCACTACCCCATCTGCCCACTAACCTACCTTCCCACTAACCTACCTACCCACTGACCCACCTACCGATTAACCCACCTACCCACTAACCCACCTACCACTAACCCACCTACTCACTAACCCATCCTGACCCACTAACCTACCTTACCCACTACCACCTACCTACCCACCACCCACCTACGATAACCCACCTACCCACTAACCCACCTACTTACTAACCCACCTACCCACTGACCTACCTACCCATTAACCCACCTACCCACTAACCCACCGACCAACTAACCCTCCTACCACTGACCCACCTACCCACTAACCCACCTACTCACTGACCCACCTACCCAGTAACCAATCTACCCACTAAGGAACCCACCCACAAAGCCACCTACCCACTAACCCTCCTACCCATTAACCAACGTACCCACTAGCCCACCTGCCCACTAACACACCTACCCACTCACCCATCTACCCACTAACTGACCTTCCCACTAACCTACCTACCCACTAACCCACCTGCCCACTAACCCACGTACTTTCTAACCCACCTTCCCATTAACCCACCTACCCACTAACCCACCTACCTACCTACTGACCTTCCCACTAACCCACCTACCCACTATCCCACCTACCCACTAACCCACCTACTCACTACCCCACCTACGCACTAACCCACCTTCCCCCTAACCCATCTACCCATTGACCCACCTACCGACTAACCCACCTACCCACTAACCCACCTACTCACTAACCCACACTATCCACTAAGCCACTTACAAGTATCCTACCTACCCACATAGCCATCTATCCACTAACCCACCTATCCACTAAGCCACCTACCACTAACCCACCTACCCACTTAGTTACCTTCCCACTAACCCACCTACCCACATACCAACAGGTTCGACCCCACGACCATCAACGTCCGGCTGGGAGAGTACAACTTCAGCCAGCCCAGCCCAGGAGCTAAAACCTTCGGGGTTCTGAAGATCAAGGAACATGAGAACTACGACACTACGACCTACGTCAATGACATAGCTCTCATCACCTTGGATAAAAGCACCGAATTCACCCCTGATATCTGGCCCATCTGTCTGCCAGATGGTGATGAGGTTTATGTTGACAGACAGGCTACTGTTGTTGGTAAGTAGGTACTGTCTAGTGGTGGTAAGTAGGTGCTGTCTTTGTGGTAAGTAGGTACTGTGTTGTAAGTAGTTACTGTTGTTAGTAAGTATGTACTGTGTGTTAAGTAGTTACTGTGTGGTAAGTAGGTACTGTGTGGTAAGTAGGTACTGTGTGGTAAGTAGGTACTGTTGTTAGTAAGTAGGTACTGTGTGGTAAGTAGGTACTGTCTAGTGGTGGTAAGTAGGTACTGTCAAGGACCATAACATTGTATCAGTCACATCTGCTAGAAAAATGACAGGATGGATAATGAGAACCTTCAAAACTAGGGATGCCAAGCCCATGATGACACTCTTCAGGTCACTTGTTCTATCTAGGTTGGAATATTGCTGCACACTAACACCACCTTTCAAGGCAGGTGAAATTGCTGACCTAGAAAATGTACAGAGAACCTTCATGGTGTGCTTGAAGACCCCTGGCTGTCTTCAAGACCCCTGGTTGTCTTCAAGATCCCTGGTTGCCTTCAAGACCACTGGTTGTCTTCAAGACCCCTGGCTGTCTTCAAGACCACTGGCTGTCTTCAAGACCCCTGGCTGTCTTCAAGACCTCTGGATATCTTCAAGACACCTGGCTGTCTTCAAGACCACTGGCTGTCTTCAAGATCCCTGGCTGTCTTCAAGACCCCTGGTTGTCTTCAAAACCCCTGGCTGTCTTCAAGACCCCTGGCTGTCTTCAAGACCTCTGGATGTCTTCAAGACCCCTGGCTGTCTTCAAGACCCCTGGCTGTCTTCAAGACCCCTGGTTGTCTTCAAGACCTCTGGATGTCTTCAAGACCACTGGCTGTCTTCAAGACCCCTGGCTGCCTTCAAGACCTCTGAATGTCTTCAAGACACCTGGTTGTCTTCAAGACCCATGGCTGTCTTCAAGACCCCTGGCTGTCTTCAAGACCCATGGCTGTCTTCAAGATCCCTGGTTGCCTTCAAGACCCCTGGTTGTCTTCAAGACCCCTGGCTGTCTTCAAGACCCATGGCTGTCTTCAAAACCCCTGGTTGTCTTCAAGACCCCTGGCTGTCTTCAAGACCCATGGCTGTCTTCAAGACCCCTGGTTGTCTTCAAGACCCCTGGCTGTCTTCAAGACCCGCTGCTTCAGACCCCTGTGTCTTCAAGATCCCTGGGTGTCTTCAAGAGCCCTGGCTGTCTTCAAGACCCCTGGTTGTCTCAAGCCCCTGGGTCTTCAAGACCCCTGGCTGTCCTCAAGACGCCTGGCTGTCTTCAAAACCCCTGGCTGTCTTCAAGCAGGCACTGGACAAGCACCTAAAGTCGGTACCTGACCAGCCGGGCTGTGGCTCGTACGTTGGATTACGTGCAGCCAGCAGTAACAACCTGGTTGATCAGGCTCTGATCCATAGGGGGGCCACGTCGCACCCCCAGAACTCTCTCCAGGTAAACTCTCTCCAGGTAAGTAGGTACTGTCTGTGTGGTAAGTAGGTACTGTTGTTGGTAAGTAGGTATTGTCTAGTGGTGGTAAGTAGGTACTGTCTTTGTGGTAACTAGGTACTGTTGTGGTAAGTAGGTACTGTGTGGTAAGTATGTACTGAGTGGTAAGTAGGTACTGTTGTTGGTAAGCAGGTACTGTCTAGTGGTGGTAAGTAGGTACTGTTCATGGTGTGAGAGGTGTAAGGTACTGTCTATGTGTAAGTAGGTACTGTTGTTGGTAAGTAGGTACTGTCTGTGTGGTAATTAGGTACTGTCTGCATGGTAAGTAGGTACTGTATGTGTGGTAAGTAGGTACTGTCTAGTGGTGGTAAGTAGGTACTGTCTGTGTGGTAAGTAGGTACTGTGTGGTAAGTAGGTACTGCTGTTTGATAATAGTGTTGTGTTGTAAGTAGGTACTGTCTGTGTGATAAGTAGGACTGTCTGTGTGATAATAGGTACTGTCTGTGTGGTAAGTAGGTACTGTCGTGTGTAGAGGTATTCTGTGTGATAAGTCTGTGTTGGTAAGTAGGTACTGTCTGTGTGATAAGTAGGCACTGTCTGTGTGGTAATTAGGTGCTGTCTGTGTGGTAAGTAGGTACGGTCTGTGTGATAAGTAATGTTTGTGTGATAAGCATGTACGGTCTGTGTGGTAAGTAGGTACTGTATGAATGATAGTGCTGTCTTGTGTGGTAAGTAGGTACTGTCTGTGTGTAAGTAGGCACTGTCTGTGTGGTAATAGGTATCTGTCTGTGTGGAAAGTAGGCACGTCTGTGTGAGTAAGTAGGATGTCTGTGTGTATAGGTACGGTCTGTGTGGTAAGTAGGCACGTCTGTGTGTAAAAGTAGGTGCTGTCTGTGTGGTAAGTTAAGCACTGTCTGTGTGGTAATAGGTACGTCTGGTGGTAAGTAGGCACTGTCTGTGTGGTAAGTAGGTACTGTCTGTGTGGAAAGTAGGCACTGTCTGTGTGGTAAGTAGGTACTGTCTGTGTGGTAAGTAGGTACTGTCTGTGTGGTAAGTAGCACTGTCTGTGTGGTAAGTAGGTACTGTCTGTGTGGTAAGTAGCACTGTCTGTGTGATAATTAGGCACTGTCTGTGTGGTAAGTAGGTACTGTCTGTGTGGTAAGTAGGCACTGTCTGTGTGGTAAGTAGGTACTGTCTGTGTGGCAAGTAGGCATTGTCTGTGTGGTAAGTAGGTACTGTCTGTGTGGTAAGTATGCACTGTCTGTGTGGTAAATATGCACTGTCTGTGTGGTAAGTAGGTACTGTCTGTGTGGTAAGTAGGCACTGTCTGTGTGATAATTAGGCACTGTCTGTGTGGTAAGTAGGTACTGTCTGTGTGGTAAGTAGGTACTGTCTGTGTGATAAGTACTCTTTGTGTGGTAAGTAGGTACTGTCTGTGTGATAAGTAATGTTTTTGTGGTAAATAGGTACTGTCTGTATGGTAAGTAGGTACTGTCTGTGTGATAATTAGGCACTGTCTGTAGAGTAAGTAGGTACTGTCTGTGTGGTAAGTAGGTACTGTCTGTGTGATAAGTACTCTTTGTGTGGTAAGTAGATACTGTCTGTGTGATAAGTAGGTACTGTCTGTGTGGTAATTAGGTGCTGTCTGTGTGGTAAGAAGGTACGGTCTGTGTGATAAGAGCGTTCTGCCTGTGTCGTAAGTAGGTTCTGTCTGTGTGATAAGTACTGTTTGTGTGGTAAGTAGGTTCTGTCTGTGTGATAAGTACTGTTTGTGTGGTAAGTAGGTACTGTATGAAAAGTAGGTGCTGTCTGTGTGGTAAGTATTCACTGTCTGTGTGGTAAGTAGGCACTGTCTGTGTGGTAGGTAGGCACTCTCTTCGTGGTAAGTAGGCACTCTCTGTTCGGTAAGTAGGTACTGTCTGTGTGGTAAGTAGGTACTGTCTGCGTGGTAAGTAGGTACTGTCTGTGTGGTAAGTAGGTACTGTCTGTGTGGTAAGTAGGTACTGTCTGTGTTGGGTCACTTTCTACTACACTGAACACCATTCTATCAGCTGGTTGGGTACTATCTATTAGCAAGTTGGGGTACTATCTATCAGCAGGTTGGATACTATCTATCAGCAGATTGGGGTACTATCTATCAGCAGGTTGGGTACTATCTATCAGCAGGTTGGGTACTATTTATCAGCAGGTTGGGTACTATCTACTAACTGTTGACCAACATCCCATCTATCAGCAGGTTTGGGTACTATCTATCAGCAGGTTGGGGTACTCTACCAGCAGGTTGGGTACTATCTACTACTGTTGACCAACATCCCATCTATGAGCAGGTTGGGGTACTATCTATCAGCAGGTTGGGTACTATTTATCAGCAGGTTGGGGTACTATCTATCAGCAGGTTGGGTGCTATCTACTACTGTTGACCAACATCCCATCTATCAGCAGGTTGGGCTACTATTTATCAGCAGGTTGGGGTACTGGAGAGAGTTCCGGGGGTCGACGCCCCCACAGCCCGGTCTGTGACCAGGTCTCATGGTGGATCAGAGCCTGATAAACCAGGCTGTTACTGTTGGCCGCACGCAACCCAACGTACGAACCACAACCTGGCTGGTCAGATACTGACTTTAGGTGCCTGTCCAGTGCCTACTTGAAGACAACCAGGGGTCTTGAAGACGGCAAGGGGTCTTGAAGACAGCCAGGGGTCTATTGGTAATCCCCCTTATGTATGCTGGGAGGCAGTTGAACCAGTCTCGGGCCACTGACACTTATTATATGGTCTCTTAACGTGCTAGTGACACTCCTGCTTTTCATTGGGGGGATGTTGCATCGTCTGCCAAGTCTTTTGCTTTCGTTGTGAGTGATTTTCGTGTGCAAGTTCGGTGCTAGTCTCTCTAGGGTTTTCCAGGTGTATATAATCATGTATCACTCCCGCCTGCGTTCCAGGGAGCACAGGTTCAGGAACTTCAAGCACTCCCAGTAATTGAGGTCTTTTATCTCCGTTATGAGCGCCGTGAAGGTTCTCTGTACATTTTCTAGGTCAGCAATTTCACCTGCCTTGAAAGGTGGTGTTAGTGTGCAGCAATATTCCATCCTAGATAGAACAAGTGACCTGAAGAGTGTTATCATGGGCTTGGCATCCCTAGTTTTGAAGGATCTCATTATCCATCCTGTCATTTTTCTAGCAGATGTGACTGATACAGTGTTATGGTCCTTGAAGGTGAGATCCTCCGACATGATCACTCCCAGGTCTTCGACGTTGGTTTCTCGCTCTATTTTGTGGCCAGAATTTGTTTTGTACTCTGATGAAGTTTTAATTTCCTCATGTTTACCATATCGGAGTAATTGAAATTTCTCATCGTTGAACTTCATATTGTTTTCTGCAGCCCACTGAAAGATTTAGTTGATGTCCGTATGGAGCCTTGCAGTGTCTGCAATGTCTGCCTGGAACCTTGCAGTGTCTGCAATGTCTGCCTGGAACCTTGCAGTGTCTGCAATGTCTGCCTGGAGCCTTGCAGTGTCTGCAATGTCTGCCTGGAGCCTTGCAGTGTCTGCAATGTCTGCCTGGAACCTTGCAGTGTCTGCAATGTCTGCCTGGAGCCTTGCAGTTGATCCTGCCAGTGTCTGCCTGGAACCTTGCAGTGTCTGCAATGTCTGCCTGGAGCCTTGCAGTGTCTGCAATGTCTGCCTGGAGCCTTGCAGTGTCTGCAATGTCTGCCTGGAGCCTTGCAGTGTCTGCAATGTCCGCCTGGAGCCTTGCAGTGTCTGCAATGGAAGACACTGTCATGCAGATTCGGGTGTCATCTGCAAAGGAAGACACGGTGCTGTAGCTGACATCCTTGTCTATGTCAGATATTAGGATGAGAAACAAGATGGGGGCGAGTACTGTGCCTTGTGGAACAGAGCTTTTAACCGTTGCCGCTTCAGACTTTACTCTATTGACACCTACACTTTTTGCTCTGTTTGGAGAAATTATAGATCCATCTACCAACTTTTCCCGTTATTCCTTTATCCGGCATTTTGTGTGCAATTTCACCATGGTCACACTTGTCGAAGACTTTTGCAGAGTCTGTGTATACCACATCTGTATTTTGTTTATCCTCTACAGCATCCAGGACCTTGTCGTAGTGATCCAGTAGTTGGGACAGACAGGAGCTACCTGCTCTAAACCCATGTTGCCCTGTATTACAAAAAAAGTAATTTTTAAAAGAAGATGGCAAGATTTACTCCTTTTGTAATAAAGAGTTCGGGATACATAAATACACACATTAAAATGAATTAATCTTTAATCAACTTTCTTTGGTCTAGAGGTATTTGAACTAACATCTGATAATATGTACATGTTACTATAATAAATTATAATTAGCATTTTATTAAAATAATAAATAATTCGTAACCCTACACAGGGTACAACTTTCTTGACACTACTGTGTCACTATATATGTATATCTCTATGCTAAAATAATAAATTATAAATAACATTTGTATAATAATAAATTACAATCAACTGCTTCTCACGACACTTATCCGGTCGAGGCCAGTCACATGACACTATTCAGTGTACACTACAACCAGGCCATCTTCAGTGTCCCACGACACCCTTTTCATCTCAGTGTTCCACTACGGTCCTGTGCATATCTCAGTGTTCCACTCCATCATACGTTCCTAAGTGTCACACTACGGTCCTGGCCCAGTTCAGTGTAACACTCCAACCTTTTCTTCATGTAATGTCCCACTAAACAGCATCTGATGATTCCGGCCCACAGTTGATCAGCGTAGACGGTGAGTCCACAGACATCACCGGTAGTCCAGTAAATCCTCTCCAAAGCCGGTTGACACACCACTAGCCGAACACCATGCTGCAAGCTCACTGAATGCGGCCGTCAAGTAACTGAGGCCAACAGACTCAGTGAGCTGCGGTGAGCGGTTCTTCTAACGCCAGTAGATAGGTACGATTAGGTGTTCAGGTACCTACTGCTTAGGTGCGTACCCTGAGGCGCTCAGGTACATACTGTTTCTAAAGCCAGTAGACGTGTACGATTAGGTGGTCAGGTACCTACTGCTTAGATGCGCACCGTGAGGCACTCAGGTACATAATGTTTCTAAAGCCAGTAGACGTGTACGATTAGGTGGTCAGGTACCTACTGCTTAGATGCGCACCGTGAGGCACTCAGGTACATAATGTTTCTAAAGCCAGTAGACGTGTACCCTTAGGTGTTCAGGTACCTACTGCTTAGGTGCGTACAGTGCGGCGCTCAGGTACATTCTGTTTCTAAAGCCAGTAGACGTGTACGATTAGGTGGTCAGGTACCTACTGCTTAGATGCGCACCGTGAGGCACCCCGGGTACTTAATGTTCTAAGGCCGGCTCAGCAGTCCCCACATTGGGTTTGATGACGTACCCAGTGGTACTGCCGGCCGGCAGGTTAACTATTTAACCGCTAGTTTGGCAGGGGGCCGCAACACCCTGGGTTGTGTAATTGATGGGTATCTATATGGTTGGTGATCTTGCTTCTTAGGACCCTTTCAAAGATTTTTATGATATGGGATGTTAGTGCTATTGGTCTGTAGTTCTTTGCTGTTGCTTTACTGCCACCTTTGTGGAGTGGGGCTATGTCTGTTGTGTTTAGTGGGACGACCCCCGTGTCCATGCTCCCTCGTGATAGGGGCTTCTTGCAGTTCTACCACAATTGACTAACATCCCATCTATCAGCAGGTTGGGGTACTATCAATCGGCAGGTTGGGGTACTATCTATCAGCAGGTTGGGGCACTATCTATCAGCAGGTCTGGGTACTATCTACTATTGTGAACATTCCATCTATTGGCAAGTTGGGGTACAATCTAATACAGTGAACACTCCATCTATCGGAAGGTTGGGGTACTATCTACTACACTGAACACTCCATCTATCGGCAGGGTGGGGTACTATCTACTACAATGAACACTCCATCTATCGGCAGGTTAGGGTACTATTTACTACACTGAACACTCCATCTATCGGCAGGTTGGGGTACTATCTACTACGGCGGACCGGTGTCCCAGACACTGATGGAAGTCTCTATACCAATATGGACCAACACTGACTGTGATAATGCCTACGAGCAAGACATTACTGAGAAACAACTGTGTGCTGGTGACCGTGCAGGTGGCAAGGACTCATGTCAGGTGAGTCTATCATGTCATATGAGTCTACCATGTCAGGTGGGTCTACCAGGCGTGCAGGTGGCAAGGTGTCATGTCAGGTGAGTCTAGCAGTCTCTCCTGCTGTAGTGGTAACTTCTTGGACGGCTGTCACACAGCAGCAGTACCTGGTATGTCCGCCCTGCAAGCCCATCACAAGAACAACAACCTCTAAGTCACCACACACCTGTCATTGGTGTTGATCATATTTCATGCACTGCAACATATGCTTTATATTGTCGTAAGTTTCTTTCATATGTGGTACATAGCCCAAATAAACTGACGGTTGATTATTGCTGTTATGCAACAAGAAACCTACCAGACTCGTTGTTGATGGATCTAGACAGCGTCAGTGACTGTCTAGTGAGCAAGCACCTCCAGCTGTATTTTGTAGGTCATAAAATCATTCTTATGAATCAACGCTGCTAGCCATCCAGACACATTATATATGTGTCAAAGCCAGCACATGTATGGAGTCACTTTCAGATGCAGACATCAGTATGGTAAGTACTGTGTCAGGAGCCAGACACGGTTGATATTGTGTCAAGAAGCCAGACACAGGTATGGTAGTATTGTGTCAGAAGCCAGACACAGGTATGACAGTACTGTGTCAGAAGCCAGACACAGGTATGGTAGTACTGTGTCAGAAGCCAGACACAGGTATGGTAGTATTGTGTCAGAAGCCAGACACAGGTATGGCAGTACTATCAGAAGCCAGACACAGGTATGGTAGTATTGTGTCAGAAGCCAGACACAGGTATGGCAGTACTGTGTCAGAAGCCAGACACAGGTATGGTAGTACTGTGTCAGAAGCCAGACACAGGTATGGTAGTATTGTGTCAGGAGCCAGACACAGGTATGGTAGTATTGTGTCAGAAGCCAGACACAGGTATGGTAGTACTGTGTCAGAAGCCAGACACAGGTATGGTAGTATTGTGTCAGAAGCCAGACACAGGTATGGCAGTACTATCAGAAGCCAGACACAGGTATGGTAGTATTGTGTCAGAAGCCAGACACAGGTATGGTAGGATTGTGGACAGTAGAGTCAGAGTGCACATGCTGTCGATTCCATGTCACATTGGTCTTCCAGTGCGTGATAGAAGTGATACACTGGCTAAGTTATACTCTCTCAAAGAGGGAGTAGATTACAATCTTGGCTAAGTTATACTCTCTCAGAGTGAGTAGATTACAATCTTGGCTAAGTTATTCTCTCTCAAAGAGGGAATAGATTACAATCTTGCCTAAGTTATACTCTCTCAAAGAGGGAGTAGATTACAATCTTGCTAAGTTATACTCTCTCAAAGAGGGAATAGATTACAATCTTGCCTAAGTTATACTCTCTCAAAGAGGGAATAGATTACACTCTTGCCTAAGTTATACTCTCTCAAAGAGGGGGTAGATTACAATCTTGGCTAAGTTATACTCTCTCAAAGAGGGAGTAGATTACAATCTTGGCTAAGTTATACTCTCTCAAAGAGGGAGTAGATTACAATCTTGCCTAAGTTATACTCTCTCAAAGAGGGGTAGATTACAATCTTGGCTAAGTTATACTCTCTCAAAGAGTGAGTAGATTACAATCTTGGCTAAGTTATACTCTCTCAAAGAGGGGGTAGATTACAATCTTGGCTAAGTTATACTCTCTCAAAGAGGGGGTAGATTACAATCTTGGCTAAGTTATACTCTCTCAGAGTGAGTAGATTACAATCTTGGCTAAGTTATACTCTCTCAAAGAGGGGTAGATTACAATCTTGGCTAAGTTATACTCTCTCAAAGAGGGGTAGATTACAATCTTGGCTAAGTTATACTCTCTCAAAGAGGGAGTAGATTACAATCTTGGCTAAGTTATACTCTCTCAAAGAGGGAGTAGATTACAATCTTGGCTAAGTTATACTCTCTCAAAGAGGGAGTAGATTACAATCTTGCCTAAGTTATGCTCTCTCAAAGAGGGAGTAGATTACAATCTTGGCTAAGTTATACTCTCTCAAGAGGGGTAGATTACAATCTTGGCTAAGTTTCTCTCTCAAAGAGGGTAGATTACAATCTTGCTAAGTTATCTCTCAAAGAGGGGGTAGATTACAATCTTGGCTAAGTTATACTCTCTCAAAGAGGGGGTAGATTACAATCTTGGCTAAGTTATACTCTCTCAAAGAGGGAGTAGATTACAATCTTGGCTTGTCAGTTAGAAGTTTGAGAACAATAATACAAAAGAACTTCAATTGAACTTTACTGACTTAAGACTCAGGGAGATTGACACCAATCAGTCCATCTATCATCATTCTATCATGCAGGAGGAGCCACATGTCAATCATGCCGGAGGAGCCACATGTCTATCATGCAGGAGGAGCCACATGTCTATCACGCAGGAGGAGCCACATGTCTATCATGCAGGAGGAGCCACATGTCTATCATGCAGGAGAGGGGAGACACATGTCTATCATGCAGGAGGAGCCACATGTCTATGCGGAGGACATGTCTATCATGAGAGACCACATGCTATCATAGAGGCCGACATTCTATCATGCGGAGGATCCACTGTCTACCAGCCTGTCTATCAGCAGGAGAGCCACATGTCTATGGTACATCCAACAAAATAAGCCGACTCTTGGATGTCACTACCGCCCGGCTCCGGCTGGGTTACAAGTACCGCCCGGCTCCGGCTGTGTTACAAGTACCGCCCGGCTCTGGCTGGGTTACAAGTACCGCCAGGCTCTGGCTGGGTTACAAGTACCGCCCGGCTCCGGCTGGGTTACAAGTACCGCCCGGCTCCGGCTGGGTTACAAGTACCGCCCGGCTCCGGCTAGGTTACAAGTACCGCCCGGCTCCGGCTGGGTTACAAGTATCTTTGGCAGGTTAAATCACCACCACCAGATGTAGACCAAACGAAGTGTAAACTTTGCCAGATGGACTATTGTCACACCCTGCGTCATTATGTACTGGAGTGCGTCACACCTTGCGTCACTGCGTACTGTAGTGAGTTACACCCATCGCCATTATGTACTGGAGTGCGTCACATCTTTCGTTATTATGTACTGGAATATTGCTGTACACTAACTGCCCCCTTCGAGGCTGGCGACATTGTAGACCTGGAGAGTGTACAAAGAACTTTCACGGCACACATAAGTGCGATAAGGCACCTAAACTATTGGGAACGGTTGAAGGTCCTTGATCTGTATTCCCTGGAACACAGGCAAGAGAGATACATGATAATATACACTTGGAAGGTCCTGGAGGGATTCGTACCAAACCTGCACACGAAAATCGCTCAATATGACAGCAAAAGACTCGGCAGGAGATGCAACATTCCCCCAATGGAAAGCAGGGGTGTCACGAGTACACTGAGAGACAACACAATAAGTGTCAGGGACCCAAGACTGTTCAAATGCCTGTCAGCATACATAAGGGGGATTACCAATAGACCCCTGGCTGTCTTCAAGACCCCTGGCTGTCTTCAAGACCCCTGGCTGTCTTCAAGACCCCTGGCTCTCTTCAAGACCACTGGCTGTCTTCAAGACCCCTGGCTGTCTTCAAGACCCCTGGCTGTCTTCAAGACCACTGGCTGTCTTCAAGACCCCTGGTGTCTTCAAGACCCTGGCTGTCTTCAAGACCCCTGGCTTGTCTTCAAGACCCCTGGCTGTCTTCAAGACCCCTGGCTGTCTTCAAGACCCCTGGCTGTCTTCAAGACCCCTGGCTGTCTTCAAGACCCCTGGCTGTCTTCAAGACCCATGCTGTCTTCAAGACCCCTGGCTGTCTTCAAGACCCCTGGCTGTCTTCAAGACCCTGGCTGTCTTCAAGACCCCTGGCTGTCTTCAAGACCCCTGGCTGTCTTCAAGACCCCTGGCTGTCTTCAAGACCCCTGGCTGTCTTCAAGACCCCTGCTGTCTTCAAGACCCCTGGCTGTCTTCAGACCCTGCTCTCAGGACCTGTCTCTTCAAGACCCCTGCTGTCTTCAAGACCCTGGCTGTCTTCAAGACCCCTTGTTCAAGCCCTGGGTTCTTCAAGACCCCTGGCTCTCTTCCAGACCCCTGGCTGTCTTCAAGACCCCTGGCTGTCTTCAAGACCCCTGGCTGTCTTCAAGACCCCTGGCTGTCTTCAAGACCCCTGCCTGTCTTCCAGACCCCTGGCTGTTTTCAAGACCCCTGGCTGTCTTCAAGACCCCTGGCTGTCTTCAAGACCCCTGACTGTCTTCAAGATCCCTGGCTGTCTTCAGACCCCTGGCTGTCTTCAAGACCCCTGCTGACCGTGTCTTCAAGACCCCTGGCTGTCTTCAAGACCCCTGACTGTCTTCAAGACCCCTGGCTGTCTTCAAGACCCCTGGCTGTCTTCAAGCCGGCTTCTAGACAGGCTCTTAAATGGCGTTTAGTTAGCCAAGACACATCATAGCAAACCACTGGACATGATTTCAAGAAAACCCGTTTCTCAGAACCATTGTCCTTCAACATGCGAGTACAAGACCTGACTGTTATCAAGGACTGGCTAGAGCAGGTGTTAAGACGCCATGGTGTCCTGAAGACGTGAGTCTGTAGAGGACGCAGGACCTAAAGTGCAGTGGTATGAGCCATAGGAACACTGAAGAGTGAGGTTGATGAACGCATGTCTGGACCTGACACTTTGATGAGGTAGAAGACATAGGTGTACCTGAAGAGTGAGGTGTGAGTGACGCATGGTGACCTGAAGAGTGAGGTGTGAGTGACGCATGGTGACCTGAAGAGTGAGGTGTGAGTGACGCATGGTGACCTGAAGAGTGGGTGTGAGTGACGCATGGTGACCTGAAGAGTGAGGTGTGAGTGACGCATGGTGACCTGAAGAGTGAGGTGTGAGTGACGCATGGTGACCTGAAGAGTGAGGTGTGAGTGACGCATGGTGACCTGAAGAGTGAGGTGTGAGTGACGCATGGTGACCTGAAGAGTGAGGTGTGAGTGATGCATGGTGACCTGAAGAGTGAGGTGTGAGTGATGCATGGTGACCTGAAGAGTGAGGTGTGAGTG